GTCCAGCGCCACACTACGGAGAGTTTAGGCGAGTAAGTTGAGTTTACTATCGTCTGTACAGTATGTAAATTAGGTACCATAAGTCTAATACAGCACTGTAATTTTATACATTTCTTGTGAAAGAAACATTTCTTATTCAACGGCCATAACAATTATTTCTATTAATGATGTCTCCAAAGTTCAATGAATTTTTCGCAGAAAAATAACTTATCAGAAATCGCGGCTGCCATTTGGTGCACTGCTCCATGACGAAAACAAGCTTAAGCAATGGCGATGTTGAACGGTTCACACTCGGTAAGTAATCCTACAATTTTTTGTTTATAGCATAGTTTATACGGATTATTCCCAAAAAATTATACATATTTTGGAAATATTGAGTCGAATTAGTGTAGAATCGATTAATTTTATGAAAGAAAATTTTTCAAACAGCCGTAGTCCGTAAACTTCACGTGTCAGCTGTGATTGGCTTATGTATTTAAGGATTCCTACAACGCGAAATTCTTATAAAGCAGAACATATCTACCATGTTATAGGGGGGGTCTACTGTATCTTATATTTTATCATATGTGTAATAAGAATTAACAATGTCAGAAAGACAATACAAGCCCATTTCACAAAAAAAAAAACTAAAAAATATCCGGCAATGAGTTGCATAACTTTTCTGATGAAACCAGGAAAGTTTTCTTTTTAAAACCACTAAATTATTAAGTCACTTTATTATATAAAAATAATTTATCCATAACTGTAGAACTATGTGACTTCCATAAGGAGTGAAAAAAGCATCTTTTTTTTTCTTTTTTGTTTTTTTTTTGGCACTTTGTTTTAATTTTTAGAACTAGATCATTACACCTGCCCTCAACTTGAGGGAGTGAAGGATGGGATTCAAAAGAATTTAAAAATTTTTTCCTTATTAGGTTATTAGGAGTTCTGTCATTTATAATTCTTTTTAACCAACAAGTCATTTTTAAAATCACAAAATGTTTTAAAATTTAAATATACTAATGGATATTATACTAGACTTCGCTGAATTCTCTTTGGAGCATTTGACAACATTCTTCTCTGTGTTGCATTATGTGAAGAATTGTTATAAAAACAATTAATTTTAAACTTAAGCTTTTAAAATTTATTTACTGACTGAAAAATATCAAAATTGTTTTATTTTGAGTAAATAATTAAGATCTATTTACACACAACAGTGACGTGCTGGCACAGTGAGTGAATTTTTGCCTGTGGGAAATTGTTGACCTAGTTTTAAACCAATCTGTCCAGACTTGTCAGTCACAGTGCTGTGCAGTGGCAGTGGCGTGACCATACTGTGAAAGTATAATACATTTGACCAGAATGATATTTTCAGTGACGGTAAATTTTGTTTTCCAATGGACTCATTGAAATGGTGCATCAACATCCTGTTCTATTTGATTTATCTCATTCGAAATACATGGACATTGGGTACAAAATGAATATTTCTCTGTTTTGTTTAATAAAATATGAAATACGTGTTGGAACATTCGAAAATATTCAAAATATATAGATTCGTCATTTCAATTTTTTATAAAGAGTATGAAACTCCCATTCGTTGATATTTTGTCCATGCTTGATATACCCACTTGCGGCACTTTCTTATCGCATTTTTTTTTCTTCTTCATCCAAACATATAGCTATCATAGCCAATTCATCCTCAGAAAAGTCCATTACCATTCACTAACAGCACGGTCACATCACTGTTGTGTGTAAATACTCGTCACTGTGCCGTGCTCGACATCACTGTCACCAAACAGTCACTGTGCTGGCACGTCAATGTTGTGTGTAAATGGACCCTTAAACTGAAAACTATATTCATTTTATAGCAACAATCTTCAAGAACTAAGCAAAATCAAATAAACAAAAACAAAAGTCAAAGACACGATACTTTTTCTTTTTGTATAAGCAAGCTACTTCACAGGCTATCTGAAATCTGAAGAGTTTACAACTTTATGATTTATAGGCAAGATCAAGAATATAGAAGTAAAATAGTTCTTGCATTTTCCTCCATGTCTAACCTCTGTAGATTTTGAAATATGAAGAATCTCTATTGAAAAAATTTAGAATATTAATTGAAAGCTTCTGAAAACTTGATATTTGGACAAATTAATTCAAAATGGCTTATAAAAAGAAGTTTATAAGAAATACGAGAAATTACATAAATATTTTTAAAATGTACATAAAACTTTACCTCGGAAAACATAAGTATAAAAATAATTTATTGTTTTTATAGTAATGACATTCCATTTTTTTAGAACTAACATCCATCTTTAGGATCATATACAAAATTGCAAACTGTATTCAAATTATTTATTCCAAATAAGACAAATCTGGCTAATTTAACTACAGAAAATATCTTAAAATATTATTTACCTGTTTCTACATCAGCGATGTCGATCAGCAAATCTTCTGAAGCAGAAGCAAGCATCCTTCCATCATGACTGAAACTAATGGTTCTCACAGGCCATTCCAACCTAAAACATGCAAATAATTTTTGTTATAAGTAAATTTAGAAAGTCGAGGTGCAAATTTTCTTTAAAAAAGGGCTAATAAGTGATGGATTTTCATGGGGTAAAATGTGCTTCTAAAAATGTATAAAAAGTAAACCATCATTTCATTGTGAGGCTGGGACCTCACCTGATGATATAGGAGACAGACCATCAAACCAATGACAACAAACGGGTAATATATTTATCAAACAGGTATTAAGAAATGGGTGATATATTCCTTTGAATGGAGCCAGGAAGTGAAGGAATTGAGTGATGTAAATTTAATTGTCACATTTCCAGTCATAGATTGTGTGTGGGAAAAAAGGAAGTGACACTGTTTGGAGTCTTTTGGTCATCCAACACCGAGTAAACATTGAGTCTAAAGTGAAAAAGCAAACATTTCCTCAGAGGGGGATGTGATCAGGACCATGCAGACACAGCTGCAATCTCTCTGAAAGGGAAGAAAAACACATTTTCTGTAATTATGGGAATAATCATTTGGGAAGGAACATAAAAAACCCTACCCTTTGGGGAGAGCAGTCCACATCATGAAAGAGAGAGAGAGAGAGAGAGATGGTGTTCAACACTCCACAACCCAAATCATGTTTCTGGCAACAACTTGAGGACCAATGGGGATGCAGGAAACCCATATTTTGGACCAATCAGAATTTGGAGCAAAAAGTATATATAGTCATCAGGACATTAATGTTCGGTACTCCTCAGCACCTTGTTCCCATTTGGTGAATGTTCTGTCCAGGACACTTCATACACAGAGGCAATCCAGAATTTAGCATATCCATTGATTTACCCAAAATGAAAAAAACTGTGTTGTTTCCTACTATTTCTTGTGTTTTTTTGAAAGTTCCTTCATATGCAGGCTGCACATAGCTTCTCCTTAACACGCTTTAATTAGGGATTGAGTGTTTGGTATACTTTTCTAGGAAGTTCTTGATTGCAGAATCATTTACCTTGTTAAGAGCAATCCCTAACTATATTAAAGCACATGAAAATTCATTCTTCTTGCTTGCATTGTCCTTTGAAGAATTTAACATGCCAATAGAATGAAGTCAAAATAAAACTCTGTTCCTTCTTTTCATTCTTATTTCTTTTTTTGTTGGATATATGTTTTGCATATTAACTTTTTAATGAACTGCTTAACTCATGAAAATGTTTTTCATCCAAATTTATGGTGGCATCACACAGTTCACATCTCAAAATACTACTGTCAGTCATAATTCTTTCATTTTTAAAATTATTTACTAACTCCTTCAATTTTGACTTTGGTATCTTTTTAAACTGGTAAGCTGTCATTTCACCCTTCCTCACCTTGGTGATCAATAGAATTATTATTTTACATCAGATAATGGTACTTAAATTAAAAAAAACCTAAAATATCCAATTTGAGTGCAAAAAAAGGGAGGAAACCATTAATTAAAAAGCATTCAGCAAGAAAAGGGGAGCTAATAACCTTCCAAAAAATTGTAACATTAATAAAGAATCAATGTGTGATACATTGAAACAGTCTCCTGTGGAAATAACAAAAAGGTTTTTGTTATTTCCACAGGAGGACCTCAACTTCCCACTTTAGTTGTAAGTGTAAAGATAGTATATATAATTTTATTACCTTGAAAATGTCCTGACACAGACCAATTCGTGGACATCCCAGAGACTGACCAGTGCATCAACACTACCTGTAGCAAAATATTTTCCCACAGGATCAAATTCAATGCAGATGCAGTTGGCAGGATGTGCTGTCAATACACATCTCAACTGTAAATCTGGATAACTGAAAATAATTTAATTATTCATTTTGTTGACATGCAATAAGTTCTTTATCACAAACATATTTTAAATTATTAAAATAGACATACAAGGTGAGTCTACTAAGTTTGAAACTTAATTTATAAAAAGAAATGCGAATTCAGGATATGTCTTAAAAATACTCTCTTCTGTAATCTATACAAATTTTTGCGTGCTCAAGTAATTTATGTACACCTTCAAAAGAGGATCTTTACGGAATGCTGTTTAGTTTCTTTGTTACAGCCTCTTGGATTTCTGTAACTGACTGAAATTGTCTCCCTTTCAAGCCCAATTTTAATTTGGATCCAGGTCTGGTGAACTCCAGTTGTCTATTTCTTGTATTCCAAATTAAAATTTCTATTGAAAGGAAGTCAATTTCAGAAATCCAAGTGATTGTGATGAGGAACTAAACAGCATTCCAAAAGAGGGCATACATAAATTACTAGTGTGTTCCAAAATTTGTAGAGATCACAATGGAAGAAGACTGGTACTGAACTGAATCATTTCTACCAAAACTTTTTTGTAAGTTCAGTCTCCTGTAGTAGGTACACAATATATGTTTAGCAGAATTTTTTAAATTTCAATCAGACATAAATAAACTCATAAAAGTAGCTATTAATCAATAACATATCTAATTGGAGATTTTAAATTCTATTAATGACTTAATAATAAAATGAGAAATGTTTACTTAAAACAAGAATCATTTCATTAAAAAATGACATTTGAAAGTATATTTAAATGTCTTAGAAAAGAAAAACTAATTATGAATTTTAATGACTATTACAGTAGAGTCTCGAAAACTCGGCCTAATGTGGACCGAAGGGTGGCCGAGTTTGTAAAAATGCCGGGTTATTGGGAATGGGGTTAAAAAAAATAAGTACGAATGTTTCCTCAGAAAATACTGTACTGTACTTGTATGTATTGTTTACTTCAGAATACAACAGAGAATAAACTGCCCAAATACCCTTAAACAAAGGAAAAGTACATCCTTTATGAAGGCATAGAGCCTTTACTACATGAAAATGAAAATTAATGAATACACTATGTACAGTAATTTACCTCAGAAAAATACTTTATGAGGCATAAAGCTGTCTATAATGAAAATTAATTAACTAAGGATTTTTTTGCAAATTAATTAACTAAGGANTCCATTTCATGCTAGATAAAGATCTAAATTACATTAGTGGCATTTTGTACTAAGTTAGAAATTAGTTATTGATGTTTCTAGTGCCAAATAATTTTAATTATTTATACTGTAAAATTAAACCTATAATTTTGGCATTCTCTGACTATTTTTGAATTCTGTTCTTATCACATATTCTTTTATAAAATAAAACTATTTATAAATTTTTTAAAAAACAATCTTATGTAAAATATAGGGAAATTGTTTACAGATACACTCTTAAGTGGACACCTGTCCTACACAGACAATGTATATCTCTGGTCCTCTAGTGTGTCCACTAAACACAGATTTTATTATCCTGATAACATGAAAATGAATTTGTTAGGTAACAAGAACACTGTGGTGTGGAGGCACTGAGGTGTGGACGGTCTTTTTCACTGTATTAATTCTAGAGAAGGCAATTTGGGAGGACAACTTCTGAGGACCACTCTTCAGTCTACCAATTATATTTCATGAAGTGAGTGAAACTCACTTCATGAAATATAATTGGTAGACTGAAGAGTGGTCCTCAGAAGTTGTCCTCCCAAATTGCCTTCTCTAGAATTAATACAGTGAAAAAGACCGTCCACACCTCAGTGCCTCCACACCACAGTGTTCTTGTTACCTAACAAATTCATTTTCATGTTATCAGGATAATAAAATCTGTGTTTAGTGGACACACTAGAGGACCAGAGATATACATTGTCTGTGTAGGACAGGTGTCCACTTAAGAGTGTATCTGTAAACAATTTCCCTATATTTTACATAAGATTGTTTTTTAAAAAATTTATAAATAGTTTTATTTTATAAAAGAATATGTGATAAGAACAGAATTCAAAAATAGTCAGAGAATGCCAAAATTATAGGTTTAATTTTACAGTATAAATAATTAAAATTATTTGGCACTAGAAACATCAATAACTAATTTCTAACTTAGTACAAAATGCCACTAATGTAATTTAGATCTTTATCTAGCATGAAATGGAATGCAAAACAACTAGTGCAAGAAGGCAGGCAACATTATTGATTAAAATATCTAGGTTTTACAAGAAAGACATTTGCCAACTTTTCCAACATGTGACTCATTTGATTCATTCTGTTTCTGTTATCCTTTCCTTCTTCAAAATTTTCTGAAATTTTAAATGCCTTCCTTCCATTACGCAAGGAAAAGATGCTGATGTCAATCTATCAATGCTTGATGCAAATATTTAAGTATCAGAATATTCTTCAAAAATGGAAATGTGAAAATCTCATTTGGTAACTTTAAGAATACAAAGAAATTCTATAAATGGCAATGGAAGATAAGCAAGGTACTTTTTTAAAATTCTACTGTGGGAAATATGTAATTCATTGTACTATCAGCTTAAGAGATTTTGGAGAATAGAAGGTGTAGCAAATTTTTGTCTGTCCACTTAAGATAAAAATACATGAATAGTTCTATTGTCTGCTAAGTATAGATGTCTTCTAAACCCAGTATTCAGTATAATTTATCTTTAAAACTGTAATGAATTAATTAAAATATTAAAATCATGCTTGACCTAAATAAAGGATACTTATTCTTAATGAAAAAAATACTGTATTTTGACTAAGAGTTTAAAAAATCTTACCTTAAAATGTTAATACATCCTTGGCCATTAGTGAGATAGAAAAATGCATTTTCATTATCCCAAGATATTTCATTCACTTCAAATTTAAATTGGAGATCTTTTAATATTTTATGAGTTTTCACATCAATAAAAGTTACTAGATCTTCTTTATTCCCAACAGCAATTGTCTGTCCATCAGGAGACCAGCAAATGTTAATATTTTCTCCTGAAAATTGTAATTACTTGTTACTATTACTATTTGTTGCTCTAAAAATTCTCATACAAACATTTCATATATTTCGTATAAGAAAGTTTATTATTAAAAAATTATTTTCAATAAAAATAATCCTATGACAAAACAAAAAAAAAAAAAACTATTATTAATAATATATAATATAACAAATATATAAACAACCCAATACATTAGAATATCCTAACAACCTGCAGATTTTTATCAGGCTAAATTTTAGCCTGATAAAAATCCAGAAATCCAGAAATCATTTGGAAAAACAAATAGTTAAACTATTACATAACAAGTTGTTAAATCCTGAAAAAAATTTGCTATAGGGAAATTTTGTTATACAGAAATTACACTTTTTGGTAAATAAAGTGTTATGTAAATAACAAAATGAATTTATTACCAAAAGTTAGGTACAAACATAGTTACTTTTTGACATAATCACTGTTCACTGTAGAGATTGAGGCATTTGTTATATCTGTGGATGAGCTTTTCATCCCCTCTTCATAGAATGTTGTCACCAGTGAATTGAGATGGCATTAACCTTTCAACAGTGGAATAGTCAGGTATGGTGCTACCCCTTAGTAGTGGAGAATAAACGTGGGAAATGTTTAGAGTATTTTTCCACGTGTTTTTTTTCGTTACTGTTTCAGAAAAAGATTTTGTAAACAGTTATGTCTAGTAAAGAAAAGTCTTTTTATTGTTACATAATTCATTTTTTATGTGAATTTTTTTTGCGGTAGTTTTTGCTGATACCTCAAAAGAATTTGACATATATATATGTCCCTCACCACTGCCACATGATTGCCCTGGACATATATATATGTCCCTCACTGCTGAGTGGTTAATGACGCTGTTTCGAAGATCATCATTAGCCTCAAACCTCTGCCCTCCTAGCCATGTTTTCAGTTCATGAAAGAGGTGGAAGTCTTCACATATTAAAAAGTTCCAAGCTGGATGGAAGTCTTCACCATCTTCAAACACCCAGCATATAGCCTTGATTTAGCACTGAGTGATTTCCACTTCTTTCCTGAACTGAAAATGTGGCTAGGAGGGAAGAGGTAAGAGACTAATGACAATCTTCAAAACAACGTTAGGGCCCATCTCAAATCATTGGCAGCAACATTCTATGAAGAGGGGATTTTAAAACGCATCCACAGATAGACAAATGCCTCAATGTTCACAGTGATTATGTCAAAAAGTAACCATATTTGTGTAAGTTTGCCGACTTCCAGGAGGAATCGTTAATCCCGCGTCAGGATGATCTAGGGTCGTTCACGTGTGGGTGTGGCGGAGGAGACACAGATGACAAGAATCTCACATAAACCCGTTTATTTTAAACATAAAAGTAAACTTACACTAAGGAACAAAAATGTTCTTTACACAATTGGAGGTCCGAAGTGTCGAAGGTGTTTTTACTGTTGCTCGAAGGAAGGCCCCAGGGCAACAGCAGGTGTGGAGATTCGTCAGTCGGTGTCGGCGGTCTGAGTCCATAGTCACAGGTTACAAATTGGGCACAACCGATCGAAAACTACTCTTTTGCATTGACTAACCGTGTGCAGGTACACAGTTTTCCGGAAAGTCAATCAGTCCTTCAAGATCGAGTCCTTTATATCAATCTCCGTTCTTGGTTTTGTTTTCTTCTGATTGGTTCCACGTCCCTTTTTTCTTGCTCCCCGATTGGTCTCTCGTCTGTCTCTAAGTGAAAGACAATTCCTGTTCGAGTCACTAGAAAGATCCGCTTCGAAGAATCTACTTGACACCATCCATTACTCTGGATGCAAAATGTTGATGGAACTTTGAAACTTGCACTCATATTTTCCACCATTGTTGTCTAGTCTGTGACATTTTTGAAATTTAACGACACGACACAATGTCCCTTTTTGTCATTAATCTTTCCTCTTTTCAAAATTTCTATGTTCTAATTATTTGCATATGAGCGACTTGTCAAAAGTCCATCTCTACTGGAGGTCATTCGTTTATAATTATTAATCAATTATAATTATTGCATTCTGTTTACATGAATAAAGTTTTTTTTTTCTCGTTGAGGTTTCATATGACTAGAACAACTAATTCGATCTTTGATCAGTTTTTAACAATAGACAATTTTTTTTTCTAGTTTCGTTTTAGAAAATTTTTAATAATAAATGTTTAATTTCAACTCCTTTTTTTGGAACCTCACATTTGTACGTAACTTTTGGTAATAAATTCATTTTGTTATTTACATTTGTCTTTGTTTTATGGACATTGGAGGTTGAAAAAGAAACAGCCTTCATATAATATACAGTAATAACATAATAAAAATGTAGTTTTGATTTTAAATAAGTTTACATTTGTATGTTAAAAAATTTTTACAAGTTAGTTTAACTACATTTTCATTTAAAAATAATTTTAATTGCACAGAACAGTTAAAAAATGTTCTATCTTCAAAATATGCTTCAAACTTATTAAGAGTATTAAAACTTTTTCATCTATATTGATGTAAATGCAGGTTCTAGTACCTTTTCCTGTAGGTTTTGTATCATCAGGTAATTTCAAAATTAATTCACAATTTGTTATATGGCTGATAAACTACTCACAGGAAATCCAAACTTTGCTACAATGTCTTTCTTTTTTGAGACTTTATCAACTCCTACAACACATTTTTTCAGTAATGTTTAAACACGATATTAACAGTTTTTCAAATTCCAACTGGGCAACTTATTAAATAAAATAAAATCTCTCTAACCTCAAAAATTAGTCCAGCAATTATCATAATTATCACCTTTCTAACATTTTCAATATTTGTTAATTGTAAATTGTTTATCTGTCAACAACAGCATTTGGACCTAATCTCTCTTCCCTTCTTTACAACCAGTAGCCACATGGAGGGCAGATTACATGATGATTTTAGATTAAAAGATTACAACCTGATGAGTATGGTTGGTGCAATAACATGTCCCATCTAAGTTGTTATAACTTAGTTTCTGAAGAGTTACCAAACTTGTGTGAAATTTGACATTATCATGGTAAAACACTACACCTGTTTTGTTGATCAATTCTGGCCATCTTTTCTGTTTGATGATATTACTCAATTTGTTTACTCAATGGCAGTACACTTTCGAATCAATTGTTAAGTTGTCTGGTAAAAGCTCCAAAAAAAAAATTTCCTTAAAATCCCAACAAAGATAGCATCTCTCCTTAAGAACATGTGGAACTCATATATCAAGCTTTAAAACGAAACCAATTTGTTTCAAGTAATCATAAACACTTCAATTTGACAAATTTAATCTCTTAGTGATTTCACATGTTGTTATTCGGCAGTTTGCTTCAATCAGTACCTTTTATTTTGTTTTCATTGGTTTCAACTGGCCATCCAGAACGTGTGCATCTTCAATATTGAAATTGCCAGAACAAAATTTTGTAAACCAGTTTTAGCACTGTTGTTCTGTCAATACATCTTCCCCATACACGTCACACAGTTTTTTTCCTCTCTTGAACAGTATTCTTACCTTTTCAGTAATAAAAGAGCAATATGTGCCAAAAATGCTGCTTTCGATCTTCCATATTTGATGGGACACAAAAAATAAACAATTGCACAAAATCAAACAAAACTTTTTACAAATAAGCCTTAAAAAGCCTGGCTGTCAAAATATATAATGATAATACGGTTTAGAATAAAAATGGCAGGAAAAATACCACTAATCCATCTAGTGGTAAAAAAAAATGAAATTACTTTCCAAACAACCTAATAAATTCCTGTTACGGATCAAAGACCCAACCACAACTTAATATACTTGGGTGCTATGGGAAAATCTTTAAACACCCATCTCAAAAAACATTGGATTTCCATCATTAAAAGGCTTAACACTGACCCCAACACCAAGGTGCATTTTGACCAAGCAGGCATCCTACATCGCACCTCCCACAAGAACAGCTTACATATTTAGAACAGAAATTTATAAAGCCATGAGAAAAAAATGCAATAATCAACTTTAAGGAAGTGAGCTCCTTCCCTCCTGTGTGGAAGTCATTTTATGATGTTTAATCTTACAACTCATTCCCCCCTCTCAGCAGATGGACAGTAACCATATGCTGAGAGAAGGGAATAAGTAATTCTTTTTGAAATGTTTATTTTAACAGCTGCATTCAAAATGAAAAGATCTTTTAGCCTACAGTTCAACACAAGTTTTGTAGTTTATTGCTGGATATTGGTTTTATGTGTAGTACTTATTTATACATATCCAGTTTGAATTGTTAAATTAATCAATAAGTGTTCAAGAACTAAAAATAAAATGAATGGTAATTGGTTAACTTCTAATTCTATTGATTCTTGGTTGTGAATATGGCTTTCAGAAATATATCCATAAAATTTTAGTAATATAATAAACAATGAAATTACAAGTTCTTCCCTATTTCCAAGAGTTGAACTTACAAACTTCCAGAATTATTCAGAACAATTTGACTGTATGTGTAAAATTTAAATTTTGCACATATTTGTAGTTCTGTTGCTGCTCATAGAATATCATTGAAGTCAGCCTTTGGACAGTAATAAATAATAAATTTTTGAAAATAATTATTGTAAGCTTATTTCTATTGTGTATTATCATTTTTAATGTTTGCATGAATCCTAGGTTTCATTGCCTCTCAAGAGCTGGTGTTAAGTTGGTAATGTTGGAGTAATGGCATTTTTCACTATTATTTTAATTTCTATTCATTTTCATGATTAGTGATTCAAGAATACCTCCAAAACGTAATAGTGAATCTAGCCACTGCTATTCTATCTTCACTATTAACTGCTATTAACTATGTTCATAATTATATTCTGTGTATAAATATAGTTTTTAGGTTAGTTTTCAACATACAACAAAATCTCAGGAACCTAACTTGTTCATGAGTAGGGAAGCACCCTATGATATTACTTGTAACAAAAAATCAATTTCATACCTTTGGTTGGAACTGTAGCAGCACATTTCTGGGTTCTTGCATCCCATATCCGAACTGTTTTATCAAGGCTAGCAGTTGCTAAGTGATCAGGATTTCCAGGATGCCAGCAAAGCTGATCAACACTATCCGAATGACCCTTGAATGTATATTCTTTACTCTAAAAATTAATAATTTATAGATAAATATTAACAAGTAAACAATGCTAAATGCTAGTTTATAATTTAAGAACATTGATAATTAAATATGCCGTAAATATTATATATAATGTATATTGTATAATACAGTGGGTGATTGGTTAATGAACATAATCCGTTCCAAGACTATTTGCTATCCAAATTGTTCATTAACTGGTTATTGATTTACCATAAGTTTTTATGGGAATTTGATTAATTCATTCTGGAGACCCCAAAAAATAAAAAACACATGTATACAGTCTTGCATTTTTATTAGTCATGTTTTTTTCCGTTTGTGTGGGTTAAAGAATCTATCTAATGTTAATTGCTTTTCTTTCTTCTACAGGATTTTTTAGAAGTAATTACCATATTTTCCGGCATATAAGACGACTTTTTAATCCAGGAAAATCTTCTCAAAAGTTGGAGGTTGTCTTATACGCCCAGTCGTCTTATACACCAGAAAGTACGATAATAGTATTGTAATTGTAGAGATCCCTAAGCCTATTAACCTCAACCTGGTTTGAATGCCATCCTAAGACTGTTGTTCTGATATCCTCCCACTTCTTCAAAAGATCTTTAATAGCAGATATCGGCATTAATCCTCTTTTTCATAAGAAAACATATCTTGCCGAGTTTCTTGGTGTTCTTCATTCAAGAGTTCTTGGCATTCTTCTGTTGTCAGATCAGTTTCAAATTCCATTATGAGCTCTTCAATGTTCTTTATTTCTCAGATGTGATTTTTGTTACTCCTTAAACTGCTTGGGTCTTCTTGATTATACAGTATCTTTCTTTGATAAGATTGAACTGTGGCCTAATGTAGACCTATAGCTATACTGTCCAGCAACATCAGACATCTTCTGCCCACTCTCTACCTTTGCTATTATACTCTCACCTTTCAAAAATAAAAACTGACACAAAAACTTAACGAGTGCCCACCCGACAGTCTCTCGAATACTATAAAAGAATTGTTTCCATCAGAAAAATAAAAGGCTGGAATTACAAGGAAGAGTTTCAAAGTTTGGAGGAATACTATCTGATCAATTTAAACTGGGTTGAGCATCGATGTCAACATCTCCCATGCTCCAAAAATTATCGAATTGTTGCATGAAGACAAGGGAAGACCAATTGTTATTCATTATTTTATGTCGCTTCTTCTTGTTTGTTCTGTGAGGTGTTTGTTGTCCGAACATAAAAATCTTTCGCGAAAGTGTTCATTATCTTATTTGTTCGTTAACTGATCACCCACTGTATAATATATTTGCTACATATATACACATATTTACTGCATATTTAATTATAGAATATAATATTTTTCTTTATACTCTTATTTATTTTTATTTAATTATATTCTTAAAGAATATAATAAAATTAAACATTTAACTTTCTTTATTAAACTGAACAGATAATTGTAAAAGAAAATTTGTTATTACTATAAAAAAAACAGTAGATAATGTTTTGAGCTGATGATCAATAATTAGTTGGATTACTACTTTATTTTGAAGCTGGCATATTTTTGTGATATCTTTAAAGCAGTCTACAGACTTATATTGCATGATGTCAGCATAGGCATTCAATTTCTTGCATTTTTGTTAACATATTTCGAAAATACCTTTTCACATAATTTTATTTTGTGTTTACTGTATTATACATACATATATATTATATTATACAACTTTATCTCAAACATCTGGCTCGTACCATCCAAGCCAGAGGTAACTTTTAACTCTTCTCTTGTTCTGTCTAGCTTGATACATTTTCAGTAATCCCTTATTTTTTCCCATCTTTGTTCATACCATCTTATTATTTCTCATCATGTCCTCAATAAAAAATCTTAAAATTTTCCTGCAAAATGTTAGATCAATGATTAAAACAAATGCCTATCTCTTGCCTTGATTTTAAATAATTTTTATGATTTGTTTATTTTAACAGAAAGTTGGCTTCCTCCAAACTCTGATGATGTTTTGAATTTTATTAATATATTGGGTTATCCCGTAATATCCGACATGGTGGTGGGATCCTTATGATTTTCCCACTTGCTCAAACTTATTAAAGTTTTTGAATATCTTGATTCCATCCAAGCTTCCAGCCTCTAATCTCATAATTACTTCATTCTATATCCCCATAAGAGAGATTCTATTTTCAAAATATTACATCGATACCTTTTCTCCCTTATTGATTCCCAAAATGTAGATTATTTTATGCAGTGATTTTAATATTCCTAACATCTCCTCGAACTCTAATGGCCCATATTCTTCCTTGGCTCATTCCTCCCTTGACCAGACTGAACAACTTTTTATTAAAGATTTTTATTATTTTTTTCATTTTAAACAAGAAATCCTTTTTCCATCTGGTCATAATAATCTTATAGACCTTGCTTTCACCTATAATTGTACCATGTCAACCAGTCATGTTCTTGATTTTAACTCTGATCACAATGCCATTTGTCTAGATGTCCTTCTAAACACACATAAACATCAATCTGCTAGGCACATTAATATTTCCAATTGGGCCTCATTCAAAGGAGCAGAAGCCTCAAGAATCTTCTGCTCGATTGACTGGACTTTCCTTGACTTTCCTATTTCTCCTCAGAAACTAAGTGTTAAAATTTATAATATATTTTTGGCCACTATTAGTAAGTTTTTACAATTCCATGAAATAAACACTTCTGCTCATAGATGACTTCCTTTATACCTAAAGAAACTATCCAACACTATCAGAAAATAATGGATTAAATGAAAACGTTATGGGAACCTACGTGATCTTTACATACATAGAATACTACAACAATGCTACTATCATGAACACCACATTGCCTTTTAAAAATATTTCAACAGAATTGTATCTAACTTTGCCGTAGACCCCCTGTACCTTCTGGTGTTTCATTCCCAAATTTTCAAAAAAACTATCACCAAACAAAAATCTATTCCTGATGATAAAATTTATATTATTTTTAATAATATCAAATCTAGATACTTTCGCCTCCTACCTGATACTTTCATTTGCTATCTTTCCAACAATGTAAACATAATTGCGTTATTTCTTTTTCTGAAGTTAAGTCTGCCATTGATAGCTTAAATAACTCCAATTACACCCAAACTCAATTCCTGCTCATTTCTATAAAAATCTAAAAGCAATATCTACTGTTATTCTTTCCAAACTTTTTACAAGGCTATTAAACTCAAGATATGTCCCAAATCAACGGTTAATTTCAAAAGTAAATGTCCTCCCCAAAAAGATAGTTCATCCTTTAGACCAGTGTTTTCCAAACTTTTTTAGGCCATGCCCTACTTTAACATTTCTAAAATCATCATGTCCCCCCATACATAATTTTAGTTATAAAATTTATTTTTGTTCTTTTTAGTAATATGAATGATAATTTTAAAGCGATTTCTTACAACTGNCACAAAAAAACCATTTAATATTAAATTACATTTACTTAATTATTCTAAATTAATTAATTATTAATAACAATATTTTCTTAGTTTTAATAAATAAAGATTAATCGATGGAAGGAATTTCCTTAAAGTTTACAATTAATATCCCTATTCGAGGGAAATTATTTCATTGGCGCTACTTTGAGATAAATATGTGGGAAGTGTACACGTTTCTACCACGAATTTGCATTAAGTTTGTGTAATTCAGAACGTATTAATAAGTAAAATTATTAATACCCGTAAAGTGTCCGTATATTAACATGTGAAAAGAGTTGGTGTTTGGATTATATGATTAATTCAGAATTAGAGCATTTCAGTGTACTTTGGTTTTAATGGCGGCCAATGTGAATTTGTGTTCTCGCCTCTAAGAATAAACAACGAGGGACGTCCAAAACTTGATATTTTAAATGTAAACACGTGTAAATGAGTTTCTGATGAAAGAAAATAAAAAGAGAAGTTTTTGCAACATGGAAAATTTCGAAGAATCGAACTTCGAAAACATTCGAGAAGAACGTGAGTAATTGTTCTTATTTTACTCTATTTTATATCGTTTATATATCTGCTATTCATTTCGCGTGTAAAAAACTTAACTTAAAAAATGATCAGTTTCATTTAAATAGTGCGGTTTGATTGGCCGCACTATTTAAATGAAACTGATCATTTTTTAAGTAACTATTTACAAGAAATTGTCAATTTCATTAGTCAAACTTTACCTACGTGCACCGTCATGGCCGCACAGTGGGTACCCATGTTCAAACCTAACTTAGAACGGTGCACGTAGGTAAAGTGTGACTATTTCATTTAAGTGAAATCCTAGATACATGTGACTGTGGGAAAGTGAAGTCCTTGTGTAATAGAACGCCAGCATTGTCTATTGTAATATGAAGCACTATTTCAAAGAAACAATAGTGAGGAAGCAGTTAACTGGCTGAAGTTTTACCATACTATATTTTTAAACCATATGGTAATGTTTCTCAAATTTTGATGATTAATGACTCTCCAGCAACCCAAAGATTTGCCAAATCACTTAATTTCTTCCTTTTGCTTTCAAAAAAAGTATTTACATAAAAGTGTAATGAGTAATTAAAAAATTTTTGAATTTATTTATTTTTGGTACTGCTACAGATGCAGTGTAGCATTGCTTTCTCTCTGTTTTTTTTAAACAGACACACACCGTAGTCATTTGCAAAACAGAATTATTTGGTGCTGACCTATATAAAAATACTATAAACAAGAAACAGGGATGCACAACCTTTTGTGAAGAAGGGCCAAATTAGGATTAAGTTTACTGACTGGGGGCCGGACCTCCAAGCGATTAATGCGATGGCTGAGATTGGATGCTGGCGACAATCTTTTTTATGTCTGGTGTAATGGCAGATGTTGAAACAACCAGAAGATTTTCCAAATTCTCGTTGGTTAACCTGTTCNACGGATTATGTTCGTTAACTGATCACCCACTGTACTACTTGTCAAGATTATGTAATATTCCTATCGGTGATCTTGAATTTTTGCCTTTCTCTCTTGTCTGAAGTATACCATACTACAGATAG